ATAGAGTATTATGGAAGTGAGGGAAGGGAAAGCTCACTTGAGAAAAGGCTTCAGGAAGAAGAGTATGAAGAAGTCATGTAGGTAGGAATGCATAAAACCAGGCAGAAGATGATTGGACAGTCTGTCTTTGGCTGATGGTTAATGGAAGATAAGTCTTGGCCTGTTGATGACAGGTCATGGAGGCCCTTGGTTGCCAGGTAGGGCTTGCACTCTATTGGATATGCAGTGAAGAGCTGTTGAAGATTCTTGAATGGGTGGAGAGAACATGAGTGGAGCTGTGCTTTATGAAGATTAATCCAAGAATAGCTTACAACATGAATTCGAGATTGATGGTTGGAAGATGATGTAGAAGGTTTAGAGAATACTCCACATTAGTTTAGGTGACATGAGTTAGGGGAATGACAAAGGACATGGAGAGGGAAATAAGGTGAAAGTCATGTTCCTTCTCAGCTGATGATCATGTGGACTTTGAAAGGAGAACGCCAGACAGTTCTGAAGATTCAAGCTTGGATGCCTGAGAAGACAGTCATGGCTTTAACACAAACAGGGCAGCTAAGGGAAGGAGGAGGTTTGGTGAAAAGATAATGAGTTCAGCTATAAATAAAATAACCAGAGAATATTCAAATGGAGACAGCTTTTAAATGACAGTGAAGTTGAGAAAACAAGAGATATAGATTTGGGGGCTATCCATGTCCATGTGGTAGTTGAAGCCATGATCACAAACGAACTTGGCAAAGGAGAAAAGCATAGAAATAAAAAGAGGGTGAAAAACAGAATTGTGAAAATTTATACATGAGTCATGGAAGGAAAAGTAAAAAAAAAAAAACAAACCGAAAGAAAACAATACTAGAAAAGAAGGCAGGGCAGAAGTACTCCTTAACAAAACGGAGTTCAGAGTCTCAGAAAATAAGTTTGGTAGATGCTTCATGGGGCATCTGACAAACTAATATCCCTCTTCTCTGAGAACCAATCCTCCCCCAACACATAGAGGGTTTGGGCCTGACAGCTATGTATATACCAAATCCTCTGGCCATGGTTGATTTCACCTGAGTTCAACAACTGACTAAAGCTGGGCCAATTAAATTTTCTCCTTTGGGAATTTGAAATGAAGAAATAAAATGTTTTTCTATAAAGACTTGTGCATGGAGTGGCCATTTTCTGTCACGGGAACACAGAAGCAGAGGAAACCTGCCTTCTGAGAGAAAAGAATGAAGTGAGTTACAGAAAGAAGGAGAAATCAGACCAGGTGACCAGAAAGAGGGAGACAGTCTGAGAGGAAGTTCACTTTCCCATGATGATTATTTTGTTTCTTATGCATTTTATTCAATCCTCCAAAACCACCCCAACTCCAGCCCCATTCCTGCTGATACATCTCCACTATAGTCCCACCATCAAATCTATGATTTTTTCAACATTTGGATCAATTTCTTTTTCCTTTCTGTACAGGTAATACATGTTCTCCTTTCCTATCGAAAGCCATCTTCTCCACTTCTGATTTAAATTCTGTCCCTCTTGTCTCTCAGGGACTTCATTTCTGCAGTTATTATCTCCATCTTCTTCATCATCAAATTATTGATTTTTCCCGGTAATGTTTGAACATGCTGTTATGCCAACATTTATTTTAAAAGGCAAAACAAAGATTCTTCTGCCATCCCTTTCCATCTACGGTCCAAATTCTTTGATCTTGTCCCAGCAACACTTCTTGACAGAGATGTCTACATGTTACTTCTGATTTCCTATTTAATCCTATTAATCTACTATTTTCCTATTTAGTCTATTCCAATCTGGCTTCATGCCACTGAAAACTGGATTGAAAACTGGATATCCAATCAATATCAACTGCCTCCATACTGCCAGACCCAGTGGATATTTCTGGGACCTCTTCCTATTCCAACTTTTAGCAGTTTTCCACATAGCTGGTCAGGCTCAGTTCTTTAAAAAAAATATCTTCTATAGGAGTCTAGGACACTATACTCACCTGTTCTCTTTCCTACTTCTCTAACCACTACTGCTCAGTGCTCTTCAGGTTCTTCCTCCTCTAGTCCCCTCTAAAAATTGGGCTCTATTCTCTGCTTGCTTCTCTGTAAACTCATCTTCTTGGTAATCTTAGACATTCCCATGGTTTTAAATACTACAAAATGCTGGCAACTCCTAAATGAAACTCTCCAAGATTCATATTTGTATATCTAGTTGTCTGTTTGATATGTCAAGTCCCCATGAATACTTGAAGTGAATGTGTCTAAAATGGGACTAAAATCTTAATTTCCATATTCCTGCTTTCTCTTAACCTCTGAGAAAATTGTCCCCATTTTTTCCCCATTTCAGTAAATGGTTTCACCATCTATCCAGTTATTCCAAACAAGAAACCTAGACAATACTTTTGATTTCTCATTTTTCTCTCCACCATCACCCCCTCCAACCCATCAGCTAGTCCTCTCATTTGTTCTTAATAAATAGATGTCTAATCCATCCACTTCTCTCCATCTCTTCTGCTGTTACATTAAGTCAAACTACTGTCATCTCTTACCTAATCTATTGCTGCAGCTACTCAACTTGTCTCCCAGCTTCTGCTCTTGCCTTCTTTCATTTAGTTTCTACTTATCAGTCAGGGTAAACTTGGAAATATGTTGAGCCACGTTTCCTGCTTAAAAATGTTCAGTGTCGGCCGGATGCGGTGGCTCATGCCTGTAATCCCAACACTTTGGGAGGCCAAGGCAGGTGGATCACGAGGTCAAGAGATCAAGACCATCCTGGTCAACATGGTGAAACCCCGTCAATACTAAAAATACAAACATTAGCTGGGCATGGTGGCACGTGCCTGTAGTCTAGCTACTCGGGAGGCTGAGGCAGGAGAATAACTTGAATCAGGGAGGTGGAGGTTGCAGAGAGCCGAGATCGTGCCACTTCCCTCCAGCCTGGCAACAGAGTGAGACTTTGTCTCAGAAAAAAAAAAAAGAAAAAAGGGTTCAGTGTCTTCCAATAACGTTGCAATGAAATCCAAAATCCTTAAAATACCTGACTACTTTTGCTCTACTCTCCTCCTCCCCTTTTCAGTTCCAGCCACAATGCCTCCTTTCACTTCCCCTGAAACACTCCTGCATGGCCTGCATACAGGTGTATCCTCTGCCTAAATCACTTCTTCTACCTCCCTGCTCCTCAATTCCCTTGAAATGCCACGTCTTAGAATGTCCTTCCTGAGTCCTCACCCATCACTAATAACCTATAATAATCTATCATTAAGTCAGTTTTTTTCCATCTATTTTGCTCATTAAAAGTTGTCAATAGACATTTGTTTACCTCCTAATGGCAAGTCTTTCCTACTAGATTGTAAAGTCTCTGGAGGTAGCGACCTTGTTTGTCTCTTCTGTTCACTGCTTGATCACTTAACACCTATGGAGTTCCTAGGATATACCACATGTTCAATAATTACTTGTTATAACTTTACTTGTTGCTGATGCCTTCATCGTTCATTATTCCAGGCCTTGTACAGTCCTACTATACTTTCCCTGGGAGAGTTTCCTATAGTCTTTTTTTTTTTTTTTTTTTTTTTTAAGATGGAGTCTCGCTCTGTCGCCCAGGCTGCAGTGCAGTGGCCGGATCTCAGCTCACTGGAGTGTCCTATAGTCTTATACTCAGATCCCTTTTGTCATTTCAATAATTTGAGTAGGTTTCTGCTCTTATATCAAATGACAACTAATTGATGCAGCTTTGGAAAGGATAAGGTGGTCAGTAATGTCACATGCTGTTGAATGGGAAAGCAGTTTAAGAGCTAAGCAAAAAGCACTGGATCTCATCATTGATCATCTTCAAGCCAATAGTGTTCATAAAATATGGCCCAATTGAAGCCAGGTTACAACTAAGTTAACAAGATGGGTAAGAAGGTAGATGCATCAATGCAGAATATTCCTTTTAAGAAGTTTAACAGTTAAAATAAGGCATGATATAAAATGGGATCTTGGGGTTCAGCAGAACCAAAGAAAGTACATGTTAGTTTGGTTTAAAAGAAAAGAGGGGCCAGGCGCGGGGCTTACGCCTGTAATCCCAGCACTTTGGGAGGCCAAGGCGGGCAGATCATCTGAGGTTGGGAGTTCAAGACCAGCCTGACCAACATGGAGAAACCCAATCTGTACTAAAAATACAAAATTAGCCGGGCGTGGTGGCGCATGCCTGTAATCCCAGTTACTCAGGAGACTGAGTCAGGAGAATTGCTTGAACCCAGGAGGCGGAGGTTGTGGTTAGCCAAGATCATGCCATTGCACTCAAGCCTGGGCAACAAGAGTGAAATTTTGTCTCAAAAGAAAAAAAAGAAAAGAGAAAAAAATGTCTATTGATATACCCATAAGCCAAAGAAGCCAAAGGAGAAAAAAATCAAGAAGTGTTTGAATGGGGAGGAAGATTAATAGATTTAGTTTCTATTAGCATTAGAGGATTTGATCAAGAGCACAACATTGACAAAAAGGCACAATGTTTCCCCTTCTACTACAGGAAAGAAGGAGGATAAGAGGTCAAAAGTAAGACAAAGTTTTGGATAGAGCAAAGGGAGGTTGAGTGTGGCCACTTCAGAAGGTAGCAAAGTCATCTACAAACCAATCGTCAAGGAGAAGGTCAGAATCTCTTGAAAGACTTTTCTGAACCATACTTCCAACCCTTCATTCCATCCCTTACCTCCCTGCCCAAGACTTGCTTTCCACTACCACCATAGCAGACACTCACTGCTACAAAAGGCCATAGTGGCTGATTAAGTGTGCCTTACTTCTTAGATGGTGCTATGGTTTGAATGTTCGTCCTTTCCAAAACTCATGTTAAATTTTTTTTCTTTCTTTCTGCCCCCACCCCCTCATGTTGAAATTTAATTGCCATTGTAATAGTATTAAGAGGTGGCACATTTAAGTGGTGATTAGGTAATGAGGACTCTACCCTTATGAATGGATTATTGCCATTATCATGGGAGTGGGTTCACCCCTTTTATTCATTCTCTCTCTCTCTTTTTGCTCTTCCAGCATGTGACACCTTCTGCCATGGGATGATGCCACAAGAAGAACCTCACCAACTGCTCGCACCTTGATAGTGGACTTCACAGCCTCCAGAACTGTGAGCCAGTAAGTTTCTGTTCATTATAAATTACCCAGTGTGTGGTATCATTATAAATTGCCCAGACCGTGGTATTCTGTTACAGCAGCACAAAACAAATTAATACAGGAAGGGTGGAGTAGAAAACAGTGCAATCAGTGAAGAGTAAGATAGTCAGAAGCGAATATAGGGTTGAAGAGCTCTGGCATCATGAGGAATATGACAAGGAAACAAAACTGTGTTTTCCAAACATGTGAGACCATCAGGCATATCTGGGTCCCTTGCTAAAAACACAGATTTCAGTCCTCTTTCCTGGAGAGTCTAATTCAGCTAGTCTGCTGGTCGGAGGGTTAGGATTGTATAATTTTTAACAAGTTTCTCAGGTGATCTTTATGATCAGGCAAATTTGCAAAACAGTAGATTCGAAATAAATAAAAGTTTACCAAGTATAATTGCAGGACCAAAATATTATCTCCATTTTCAGCCAAATACATAGAAACATTGATACCTGGCCGGGCACGGTGGCTCAAGCCTGTAATCCCAGCACTTTGGGAGGCCGAGACAGGCGGATCACAAGGTCAGGAGATCGAGACCATCCTGGCTAACCTGGTGAAACCCCGTCTCTACTAAAAAATACAAAAAACTAGCCGGGCAAGGTGGCGGGCGCCTGTAGTCCCAGCTACTCGGGAGGCTGAGGCAGGAGAATGGTATGAACCCAGGAGGCAGAGCTTGCAGTGAGCTGAGATCCGGCCACTGCACTCCAGCCTGGGCGACAGAGCGAGACTCCGTCTCAAAAAAAAAAAAAAAGAAAGAAACATTGATACCTGACATCAATTCATGGAAATTACCAAAAGAAAACAGCTTTTAAAATTCTACCTGTAGAATTAAAAAAAAATATATCTAAGAGGTCTATTCATTTTACATGATTTGTATCTAATTCTATGGTTCCAAATAATCTACAGTGGTATTTGAAAATATGAGACTGGGTTATAGATTTTTTTAATTATAGCAAATTTCACTGAGGAAAAGGGAAATGGACCTGACTGGCTAACAGTTATTATTTATAATAATGAGTCAGATATTTTAAAGCCTGTTCTGCTTCTAGTTGCTTAACTCTCAGATTAATAAACTAAACACAGTAAAATCTAAGATTTTTAAACAAAATCTTGAGCACACTAGCAGTACAGCGGCTGAGAACAGATTCGGGTCCTTGAAAAATTTCTTTCCATTTCCTCCTAGAAAAACTGATCTGTATTGATACACAATAGTTGCAGCCCAAACTGCTTTCTGGGACCACAGAGCCCCTCTAATTTGTACCAGTTTTCCTCCATTCTAGTTGATCCTGACCATCAGGTATAAATTAGTGCTAAACCAATATTAGCTGATACTTCCCCAGGTGTGGGAAGTGAGGAAACCTGATCACATGAACAAACACAACCCTTCCTGGCTACATTTAAAATAAGATGGCTATTATTATACCGTGCGGGAAAAAGAATTTTTTTGTTGTTTGTTTTTTAATCAATCTTATGCCACCTAAATTTGTATTAACTTGACATGGTGATATCAGTCATCAGTTAGAATCCATTTTTAGTTATAGATTCCCTATCAACCTTCACACTTTTTTCATTCTTTCATGGGGCCTCCTCTTGCCCTTCCAACTTCTTCTCACCCCCAGCCATGCCATGTACCTTGCCCCACACCCTTTTTCATTTCTAGCACTACTCAAGAGGTTGCGTGGAGGAGCCCAGGGGAGTAGGTTTACATACCTGCTTTAATTGCTCACCTTGGGTGTAGCAATGTCCTAAATAAACTTTAGTTTTGCCACAGAACCATTACTCAACAAAGTATTTTTACAAGTGTCACTTAATAATACAAAAATAAATAAGGCACTTATACTTGTTATTGAGGAAAAAGCTTTAGCTGCCCACTTTCTGTACTCAGGGTCCAATCTCGCTTCACTTGTGCTTAGAAAACTCTTCAGGAGTTTTCTTTAAAGAAAATCAGTTAGAGCATAAGTGTTGTGAGTCAAGTCTAAGTACCTTTACCCTTGAAAGGATTAGTTCCTTTATTAATTATCAATAACAAGGAATTTTGTCATTTTTCTCAATACTTTCCAGTCATAACTATTCATAGTGTAACTATGTACTCAATGGTTTCATAAATATCAAAAACATATATGTGTAGTACTTAGCCATAGATGGGAAGAGAAACAAATGTTCAAAATTCCAAGGAAATCATGTGACTCTCTGCATGATTTTTTCCCTACTTCCTGGGTTTTATAGAAACTTTACAGAACTTTTATATGCACTTTCAGATCTATGACTTTTTTGTATCACGGCAACAATTCTGTGACGTTAGAACATGTATGCTGTCTCCATTTGGCAGATGGGGAAATGGAGGCCCACAACCTTGGCTGGGGTCACAGATAGCACATGAGAGACTACAAGTAGAAGTCAGGTCTTCTGATTCCTTCACTATAAAAATTGGGTGACTTTTTTCCCCAGTGTTTTTTCTTCACTATAAAAATTGCCTCTGTAGCAAGAGCCAGGGATGTAATTGAGAGGCATGGATCTTTTCCACCTTGGTCTTTGAAAGACCTGTGAGCTAATAGTATATGCAAGAGAGGACACTTACTGCCTAAGAGATTGATTACCTACATTCAGGGCAACCCGATGATGCACCCTGATAAGAGAAGGGCCTGTCTAAAGGTCCTAATTTGTTTTAAATATCCAGAGTTCCTGATAGGGAGGCAGGGTGTGGTAATTATATATCTAACGTTTGGCTAATTGTCTCCATATCCTCACCTTCACAGATGTCTTTCAAACATTGATAATTACAGGTTTCAGACCCAAAGCCTACAAATTCATAATCCACACAGATGACATACTAAAATATACTCAAACTTGTAAGTCTGAAGACAATTTCAGCACTATTGGACTTACATTAAGAGAAAACTGCTTAAAAAGAGGTACCCTTTATTTCTATGTCATAGCTATACTTTACCACATAGATGTGTCATGGTTTCACCGTGATCTGAGGAAGTGCACATAAATTCATTTGCCTCTACATGTAATCAAAATTAACAAAACAAGTAACAAAAAAGAAAGAGTGTGTAGATAACCCCATAGGAGTCAAACTGACTCAAATTAATGAAACCAACTTGAAACAATGAAGGAGCTGCTTCTAAGTAAGATAAAGAATCAGAACCAAGAAATAAGTACAGCACAGAAAAGCAGTCATCCTTGTCATGATGGGCTACAGGTACAACCCGAGTTAATTACATCATAAGTTCTTTTTAAGAATTCAAGCCAAGCATTGTGGCTCACACTTGTAATCCCAACAGCTTGGGAGGCTGAGGCAGGAGGGATTGCTTGAGACAAGAAGTTTGAGACCAGCCTGGGCAACATAATAAGACCCCATCTCTAAAAAAAAAATTTAAAAATTTGCCAAGCATAGTGGTGCATGGCTATAGTCCCACCTATTTGGGAGCCTGAGGCAGAATCATCACTTGAGTCCAGGAGTTTGAGGCTGCAGTGAGCTATGATAGTGCCACTGCACTCCAGCCTGAGTGAGATCCCATGTCTGTAAAAAAAAAAAAAATTAAAAGAAAAGAAGGAAAGGAAAGGAGAAAGAAAGAGAGAGAGAAAGAAAGAAAGAAAGAAAAAGAGAGAAAGAAAGAAATTAAAATAAGAATCCAGCAAGTTCTTGCTATAGTGGCATCAACATAACAATAAATAAGGTGTACTCTTACACCTTACACCACAATCTCTGTCACCACCTAGAGCAATTATAATAAATCCTGCCTAATTTGGGGTCCCACAATTTAGGATGGTCTTACATTTAATAAAGAATTATGAATGTAGACTCTAGAAAAAGTCAAATGATTTAGCCTTATTTAGTTTGCAGAAGAAGTTCAAGGAGGGGTTAGTCATGGTCTTTAGGTATATTTAGTGCCATAGATATTGGTGTTTGGGGATTTTTCATCATAGAAAGAATGTAAGGAAATTAGTTAAAGATTTAAGAGGAACAGGGTAAATAAAAGCATATGTTCAGCATTCACACTGCTATGCACTCTATGTATACTATCTCATGGAATCTTCACAGATACCCTGCAAGACTGATAGAAACCAAGAATGAGGAGGTAGAAAAGTCAAGGTTAAAGTCAAAGGTCAAAGTCCTTTACCTCGTATTTGGTCTTAGGGTCTGTTTACTTCCAGAGTCTGTGCTACAGGACCAACTCACTGTAATGCTACATTGGGCAGTGTTATGAAACTTTCTGCTATCATTAAATTCAAGAATAGTTTCTAGAGACTTATATCTAGGATAGTGATACAGTCCTGTCTGAAAATAGAAAAATGGACTATATTCCTCTGAGGCCACCTTCAGCCCTGCAATTTTAGATTAAAATTCAGATCAATAGAGCTTTAGTCCAAGGCTTTTAGTGGGCACATTTTTTTAATCATTAAAGATCTGAGGCCTATAGCATGAGTAAGACTTTAGCTATTTATATTTAAAGTTTCCTCCACCTACTTAAATATCCAACATTAAGAAATTAGTCTAATAAATTAGAGTATATCCATATAATGAAATTTTGTCTTATTGTTAGAATTATTTGGAAGAAATTTTAATGACATAAGAAAATGTCGATGACATATTATCAAGTGAATTTAAAAAACCAGAAAAACCAAACTCAACTGTAAAGTATGTTTCTAATTGAATTTAAATATATATTTACATATGCATATATAAAAACAACTGAGAGAACATATGCCAAAACATTAATAGTAGTTCCCTGTGGTTAATGGGATAAAGGATGACTTTTATTTTCATCTCTGGGCTTCTTTACATTTTTCTAAACTGAACATGTCCTACATATATTACTAGAAAGAATGCTTTGCACATACCACACACACACGTAAAATGATTTTCTGCAAAGGTTTTAAAATTTAGAATAGAATAACATTGTATTAGGAATGGAATTTTGTATAGGATGAGGAAGAATTTATTAAATAGCATAGAGCCCATTGTTAGCAGCAAACTGTCACTCTGTCCAACACTGGAAATAAAATCAGCTTTTCATATAATTTCTTTCTTTTTTTTGAGATAGGGTCTCACTCTGTTGCCCAGGCTGGAGTGCAGTGTCACAATCATGGCTCATTGCAACCTCTGTCTCCCAGGCTCACGTGACCTCCCACCTCAGCCACCTGAGTAGCTGGGACAACAGGCATGCACGACAACACCTGGCTAACTTTTGTATTTTTTGTGGAGATGGGGTTTTGCCATACTGCCCAAGCTGGCCTTGAACTCCTGACCTCAAGCAATCCGCCCGCCTAAACCTCCCAAAGTGCTGGGATTACAGGTGTGAGCCACTGCATCTGGCCATAATTTCTTATTATGCTAAACTATCATATATAACTATCAGAATTCTTTTAGCCCTTGCCTAAAACCCTCTACTCAGAAGGCACACAGAAGACACACAGCTAAGCACATGATACTATGTGTATAAAATGAAGATAATAATCATACCTAGCTCATGGGGTTCTTACAGCTTAAGATGTAAATAAAATCATACTTTTAAAGCTAGGCCTAGCTCAGTGCCTAGAATATAGTAAGCACTCAATAAATGTTATCTTGGTAGTTATGTTCTTATTGTTAGCTAAAGAACAGAAAAATTCTGCAAAAAAATGGTTGTCGATCTAAGAATTTCCTATCAGCCACCTGGCACACATACTTAGTTTTAAAATAGTCTTGCAGTTAATGTAGATGGCATCTAAAGGAAACTTTGACACATTGTAATTATATAGCTCATTTCATTCTCCATACTTATCAAGGTTTTAATGAGTAATGAAAACAGGAAATGAAGTCATAATATAATTCAATTTTTAAAATCATTTTTTCTATTTATATTACCAAAAATGTTTGCTATATCAATAAAATGTTAGAACTTTGTAATTACAATGTTATTTGAATTTTTATTTTTATGTAATTATTTATTATATTTGTCTCTCTGGAGATAATTTTTAGTTTTATTTGTGATTAAAAGCAGCTTTGAATTTACCTATGTCCTTTACTATAATACAAAGAAAAAGCACATCTAAGTTCTTTGCAAATATCATTGTCCATTTGGGCACACACACACACCACAGACTTGTCTCAATGTATTTTATTTTCTATTTTTTTGAGACAGTCTCACTCTGTCACCTAGGCTGAAATGCATTGGCATGATCTTTGCTCACTGCCATTTCTGCCTCCCAGGCTCAGGTGATCCTCCCATCTCAGCCTCCCTAGTAGCTGGGACCACAGATGCACACCACCACACTTGGCTAATTTTTTGTATTTTTGGTAGAGATGGGGTTTTACTATGTTGCCCAGGCTGGTCTCAAACTCCTTAGCTCAAGTGATTTGTCTGCCTCAGCCTTCCAAAGTGTTGGGATTACAGTCATGAGCCACAGCACCTGACCTCAATATTGTTCTGGGTTATGTCAAGCCTTGCCCAGCTACTCAGAAGGCTGAGACAGGAGAATCTCTTAAATCCAGGAGGCAGAGGTTGCAGTGAGCCAGGATCGCACCATTGCACTTCAGCTTGGGCGACAAGAGCAAAACTCCATCTCGAAAAAAAAAAAAAAGTGTGTGGCATCTCCCCACTATATCTCTCTTCCTTCTGCTCTGGCCATGTGAAGTGCTTGTTTGCCCTTTGCTTTCTGCCATGACTGTAAGTTTCCTGAGGCCTCTCCAGAAGTTGAACAGATGCCAGCATCATGCTCTGTATAGCCTGTGAAACTGTGAGCCAATTAAACCTCTTTTCTTTATAAATTACCCAGTCTTCGGTTCTTTATAGCAATGCAAGAATGGACTAATACACTCATCTAGCTTGTTTTCCAGCTAACAGGTTTATTTTTGGCCCAAGGAAGCAGGACACTGGGGAAGACGGGGAGGTGCTCAGAGGTGGCTCAATAAACCATAATCATTTAGGACACAGCTGGATAAACTGATTCCACCAATGATGATAGGGTCCCATACTTTCTTGCATAGGCTCAGTGTGATTCTTTAACTTAATCAAAATTTCACATTTTAAACATTTATTTTATGTTTCTTTCTGTTTCTATCACATGCTTTACAGGTAATCCATTTTAAAGCAAGAAAGCAAGATAATTCAAGGTAAAAATTCAAAGGGGAAAGGATGGGAGTCTATGAAAGTTTGTTCCCTTACCTTCTCCCACTTACAGCTAATTTATATTTGACGAAGTAGTGGTTGTATGTATATATTCCAGGTAGTAGATTCCTCTTGTGGATAAATGGGGGATATCTCTTTCTCTTCCCTAGGGAAAAATGTGTGACTGCAAATTTGGAAACTAGACAGGATCTACCAATACAGGGCAGAATGTTAAAAAGAGGATGAATTTTGATTTCAGAAAATTTAGAAGAAAATGGATTTCTCAGGCAACTGAAAGAACATATTTGGATCTGTTAAGACTAAGGGAGGCTTCAAGAGAACAGGACTTTGTGTTGGACAGACTATCTGTGACAGGGAAAAAAACCCCTTCTCAATGATTAGGGACAAATCAGTTAACTGGCTTGAGTTTCACATTCTTCATCTGTAAAATCTGGTGATTAGACTGGCCCAGCAAAAGATATAATACACATAAATTGGAATGAATCTGCATTTTCCAAGCCTGATGAATTTATTAAAACTGAATTAAGTCACTAACTGGCAGCCTGAAGATGCAAGGAAAGAACTGAGTCATGCTTCTTAAGGTAAAAGGGCAGTCTAACTGAGAATTTTGTTATCTCTGAGGACAAATTACAAGGAGATAAAGACACTCAAGATCACATGGAAGGCTTCTGCTCCCACTTAGAGACTGCAATGTAAGGTATGGAAACAGAATATTCTCTATAGAAACATAAATGTTAAAATATGAACATTTTTGTTCTTATTTCAATCCAAAAATAAATAAATGAATTAAATGTCAAAGATAGCCATTCTAATTTGGAACTTCTCTGTTCATAACCTGTTATGTAGTGGGTACTAAAAATCTGTTCATGGTATATGACTGAATATTATCTATGAAATGTGTAGGTGTTAAATAAATGCCATGGTTTATTTATTATAAGAAACTTTTTACATTTTAACATCTCTGAAATGTGGATAAAATTTTATTTTATTTTATTTATTTTTGAGATGGAGTTTCACACTTGTTACCCAGGCTAGAGTGCAATGGCACAATCTCGGCTCATTGCAACCTCCACTTCCCCGATTCAAGCGATTCTCCTGCCTCAGCCTCTCCAGTAGCTGGGATTACAGGCCCCTGCCACCACGCCCGCCTAATTTTTGTATTTTTAGTAGAGACAGGGTTTTACCGTGTCGGCCAGGCTGGTCTCGAACTCCTGACCTTAGATGATCCACCCACCTCGGCCTCCCGAAGTGCTGGGATTACAGGTGTGAGCCATTGCACCCGGCCCTGAAATCTGGATAAAATTTTAAATGAATGGCTTGTTGTTGTTTAATTGGCAGCATCGTTTTTCTTGGCACCACTTAAAGCTTAAAGTTCCTCCTGACAATGCTTTTCCTTTTTGCTCACAAGACCAGACATTCTCATGAATGTTTCTTTAGCATTTTCCAGCTTATCCTAAGATAATTCACAAATATTAAAACATCTGTGATGTCCCTATTGAAGACAGTTCATCCAATACCTCATGATTTGATTAAATACTTCATCAAATCTAAGATACTATCATAAATTGTGCCATTATTTTAAGTGGTGCCAAGAAAAAAGTCCCTTTGTATTGTGCTAGAATTCAATGATACACTACAACCCCTGGAAAAGATTCATTTACCTTAATAATGTCCATAATAACAGATATAATACGTTTTCTAGGCATTATATTTATCCATGGTTTGACTGTAAAAGGTCTTGTACTTTTAAAAGATCTATAACCTCATAAGATTCATGTAAAGTAAATGTATTTTTTAAAACATAACTAAAGCATTTTTGTCACCCTATTTATATCAGCCCAAAACAGCATCAGTTCTTCAATAAGGGCTTCAGAGAGCTTAAGTTAAAGGAACAAAGTAGTCAATTAGTTAGTACTATGGCAGATTTAAACCCAAAACTTATTGTTTTAAAAAGATGAATATATATGCACACACACATATCATATACAGGTATGTAGATAAGGCTTAGAAGGGTGTGTCACAAGTTGTTATTTTGGAATGGAAAGTATCTGAGTTTGTGTTTTCCTCATCTGTGTTTCTAAATTTTGCCATAGTAAGTAAGCATGTATTGCATTTGCAGTAATTTTAAAAGGCAATAAGTATGATAGCATTTCCCCTCCCCCCCCTTTTTTTTTCACAGTTATACAGTGGGTACTGTAAAGTACAGCTGGCATAGTTAAGGATGTATCTTCAAAGACGCATTGGCTTAATTTTTTTCCTACAAAGTTACAGGCACCATCCAGTCCAGCCACAAAGCCCAATTTAGAGTTAGCCCTACATGAGACAGTGGGGGCCCACAAGCAAATGTAGAAGAAATAATTCTTCCCTCCCTATTGATAGACATGGTGACTTCTACACATTTCTATGTGTTGACAGTATATGCATACACTTGCAATTTGCCTTCTCTGGCCAGGCCACAGAAGAGGGCAATTCACTTAAATGCATAATTTTCTTTTTCTTCTTTGTTTTGCATACACATATATATAACAGTTTTATTTACAATACCCCAGAACTGGAAAGAAGCCAAATGTCCATCAACATGTGAATGTATAAACAAATTGTGTACTATCCATACAATAAAATACTACTCAGCAATAAAAAGGAATGGACTACTGGTACAGGTAACAACAAAATACATAATTTTCTTGACCTGGGATTTTTTCAGAATGCTGGAGCTGAAGAGTCATTTATTTATTTGATGTCACTTTAGTTTGTTAAAGGATAAAACCCTTTTAGTACAGGCTTTTCTCCTACCATAACCACATTTACGCCAAATTTAAAATATTGGTAAGCCTCTTTGAAAATCAATTGTAGAATAAATAAAATGTCTTTTGTTTAGCTATTAACACGATTTTAGGATGCTGTGCCTTCTTTACCACCATGTATTTGTCGAAAATTATATTTCTGCTTTTTATATTATTCATAAATAAAAGTCAGTATTTTTCAGTTCTTTGATTCTTCAAATCATGTTATTAACATTTATTGAAATATAGCTTTCTTCTTTCATCTTAGGTGTATAATCTCATCAGCTTTGCAGGAAAAACAGACACCCTTAGGGTCTGAATTGGCATTTGAATAGATAAGCTCACTTTTAGTCCATGCCTAATAATATTACATTATTGTTTAGGAAGAGATAGCAAGCTATGTCCTGTAAATTTTTATATACTCTTTCTGTCATCGAATAACAACTGAATTATGCTACTGTTAATAGGATTCATATAAAACTGTGGATGATGTCTAGCTACTCTATTTTTGCCAAAAGGAGAACACAGATAAACATTATGCCATGGCCATCATTTCAGTGACTTTAGGAACTTATATGCAGTTAGTGCCTCTTCACATACTGCTCACAAAGCATGTTCTCCAGTGATTTCAGAGAGATGACAAGAGGGACTCCAAAGGAGAATTTACTGAATGTTTGTGAAATTTGGGGCAATAGAGCCTCTCTAAGTCTCAGTATCCTCCCTGGTGAAAGAAAGATGATAATTCCTTCCTCACAGGATGGTTGTCACTACTAAATGGGATGATGCAGTTAGACAAAAACAGTTTGTGAAGCACTATGTTGGTATTATTATTATTGCATAAATATGAACAATGAGCACAGTAGGCCAGACCTTATTAAAGTCAGTACTTTAGATGGTGTACAAGCACACAGAATAGCCAGGGAGTAGGCTCTGGAGAGGGGTACAGACGGGACAGGCTGAACACTATTGACCCTGGAATTACAAAACCCACTGCCAGAATATCCTGGTTTGCAGTACCAATCATGTTCATTCAAGGTAAAGGGCACACTCTGCCTCTCTCATAACAAAGGAATTCCTCCTCTGACAAAGATGCTGATGTCACACAATTTAGTATCAGTAAACATGGGCGTATTAATGGAAAGGAGGAGGTTAGCATTCTCTTGAGGGAGTTCAAGGAAGCTTTTCCAACTGGGAATTGAGGTTGGTGGGGAAATATGACTTAAACAGCTAATGGGAATTAACTAAATACACCACAACAAAGACTGGCCAGATAAAATATAGATGAACTATCCCTGTCTCCACATGCATACCTAACACCTGTTAACATAGCTATTGTGCACCCCAAGTAAGAGAGTTAAAGATAACTGATTAAATGATTCCATTGTCCTCAGTAGGAAGATACCTGGTAGCTGAAAAGCTCTGCTCTATTTTCTGTTAGCAGAGATTCTGCTACCATCATCTTCTTGTTTTGCAGCAACGGAGACAAAGGGGATTTTCCTGAGCAGCGTCAGTAACAAAGAAATGAGGCAAATTATTAAGAAACTGATGGGCATTCATTGAAGAGCAACAAATATGATTTATAAGTCTGAAGGGACTGCCTTCAGAGGGAAGACGAAAGAGACAAGTCTCCCAGCATTACCGCGTGGCTCTAACAGGACTGGCTCATCGGTCACAAGTACTTGAAGGGTGTAAATAGCGGGCACAGAGAGAAATTATTTAGTGTCCAAGGGGACAGCAGGAGGAGTGATGGAAATGAAAGTCAAAACAAAGATGATTTAGGCAGCTGAACGAGTCACATGCCCTAATGGAGAGATCTATTATAGGCTGTACGGCATCATCCCTTGGGAAGGGTGGAAACCCCATCACTTGCGCCATTTACAATTGGAAAAGGCATTAAAAAGTAGATCGGCATGTCAGAGAGGGAAAAAACACCACAGGTCCTCAGAGAATCAGTGGGATGACTTAATAGGTCTTCTTCATCTCAAATTACTGTGATGTAGTTTATATGCTTGGGGACCTGAGGTGCTAGAATAATTTTTCCATCATTTGGGCTTCTTTACTATTACTACAAGTCCTCGTTGAAGAAATGATAACGGGTCATGGAATGCAGTTTCTGCATTGTAAGTGGAAGCCCACAGTGTACTGATGCTTTAGCATGAAGGCAGAACTGACTACGATAAGTTTCGCATTGTGACGTCAGTGTAAATAAATACAAACATAATACCAATGAAGTCCCAAAACAACATACATATATTGATTGAGACCAAAGGCAGAGGGAAAGGACCTTTGTCACAGATGGTGGCTGAATAAATGAAAATTCAAGTCGTTTATTCTCTCATCTAGAAAAATACATGTCTAAATACTTAAAGTCTATCTTTACAAAAAAAGAAAAAAAAAATGGCCTTAAAACTATCAAGAAACATTTACTGTGTAGGAACTTTAGGACCCATATTTTGAATGTGTGTTCTATTGCTGTCCACAGCTGCAGTTGTAATTGGCAACTGACACATTCTGAAACCCATGGTGGCCCAGAAGAGCACATATGTGCACAGGCTGTGCCAACCTGGGGCAAGAACTGCAACTGAAAGGAATGGGCACAGCTTGGTCAGATGGAAACTGGGGCAGGCAGAGAAGGGCTGGTGTTACTGTGATTACTAGAAGGAGCACAGCTGTGACCATCTCAACCCTTCTCAGCCAGAGGATGACACGGAAGCAGGGGACAAAAATGGCAAGAGGGTGACAGGAGGGAGAGGCAGCGAGAAAGAAAGCAAAAGAATCCAGAGAGGGAAACCCACAGATGCAAGCTCTTCGCAGGTGGAGGATATCACAGATCCTGATAAAAATATTGTATGTGGTTGAGCACAAGTGAAACTTGGCATTCTAGAAGATTGAAGTTTGCAACAAACAAATTCAGGGTTTGACCTACACCTGACAGATATAGGTCAACCCTCATCCTGCTGCTCTCAGCAGCTGTAGCCAATAGGAGACAGTGCTGCCCAGCATGCCGGTTTAAGCTGCT